GTCAGTTATATTAATTCAGGTGTCGTATCTGCATGCAACAACATCCGTTATTGTTATGGGATTTCGAAACTAACCATAGTATACTAACATCTGGTCAATTTATTTTTATCGAGGCACATTCTGTGGTCTATAAGTGTAAGGAGGACGATACTTCCAAGCATGACGAAGCTATGTCTCAACTCAATCAAGATGTAATCTTTTATAATACACTAGCTTTCTGCCCGCGGCTTCGCCCGCGTGGAATTTTGTCTGTCACAGAAAAACTTTATCGCGCGCGTCCCTGTTTCAAAAACCGGGATAAAAACTATCCTATGTTCTTTCCCGGGACTCAAACTATCTCTATGCCAAATTTCATCAAAATCGGTTGCGAGGTTTAAGCGGGAAAGCGTAACAAACAGACAGACAGACAGAGTTACTTTCGCATTTATAATATTAGTTGGGATTAGTTGGGATAGGTACTTGATAATATTGTTCTGTTGCTCGTTTAATTGTTATTGATTTGAATAATTGTTGAAAGTGGGTTAATTGAATTGTACACGCTTATACGGACTATTAATTATATTTAAGCAACAGAACTAAATACTTTCTCGTATTTATATTATAAAAGGAGAAAATCCATTTCATTTTCTCATGTAAAAACGACGTCATAACCTTTTTACACATCATGTAGGTTTCTCTTATACGTTTCGCCAATTAGTGAGTTTAATTTGCCTAGATTTTCTCTTAGGGCGTTTATATTGCTTGATTAGTCCATATTATCAGCAATTTGAAGTTCTGTACAATATTGCGACTTAAACGCGGTGTCGTTTTTGAAGTCGTATGTTTAGTAGATCCCGTCAATGTCGCGGAGTCGTGGAGCATTCATTATGGACCATAAACAAGGTCTTTATGTATAGTTTGAGACCGGTCCGTTTTCCCTTAGATAGTACGGTCGGTCATCGTGTAGCCATTTATGTACCGGGCAAATAGTGATGATTACTTGGATGTAATTATAGGCACAAGTTAAGTTCTGCCAATGACAGATTTTCTTCAACAGACTGTAAACTGTGTATGTCAAGTATAAGGTTCGTTATCAAATACTTGCTCTCTGTACAAATCAAGCACTCTAAAAATAAGCCCTTCAGTCTGTCCAGTTATAAAACGAATAATCAACGGTCACTTATTGTCAGTTATTTTTTGCGGTATTTTTCTCGTTACCAAGTTTCATTATCGTCAAATTATTAAACTTACTCGCATCTGCTACTATGTTATTCATGTTAACCTTTAGAGTTTAGAACAAAAGCATGATTCTTGTTAACTCATTTACAAATATGTCATTCTTCTCAAAAGGGTCAAAAGGTTTTCGGCATTAAATATTAATAAAAATTAAGACTAAAAACCACTCTTGAATATAATAACTTTGTTTGCACACTCAAATCATAGCACATTATAAGAATTTGCGTATGACTTTGTTAGGCAATGCTATGGCGTCATCCGTTTGGTAAATCATTCATGGTTATACGAATGTCACAGTTAAACTTGTTTTCAAAATATTTGTCCTGACATTTTTTGCTATGTCCGCTCATTACGCAATATGACAAAACCTGTTTCTAAATCGCGTTATGAAAGTAATTGCGTTTATGAATTAAGACCACCTCTGGCTAAAATTTAATGGGCATTTCAATAAAATTTTCTCACAGCTCACCAATGAGTCAGTCAGACATAATAAAAGCTCGGAAACCATTGTGATCTTAATAAAAATGTTAATTTAGCACCTCTCACTTTTAAAGTGTTCATCCAATGGGTGTGTGTGTGTGTAATGATGAGTCATGACGTCATGTCAATAGTTTACAATCGTAGTAGGTATACCTAGTAATACAATGACTATAACCTTTGTTTATCTAGGTTTTATATGTCTTGGATTTATGATGGTTTCTTAAGTTCTGCAGCAAACTTATTTAAAGACGAAAGTTGAATGCATGCAACTTTTGCTTTAACTATATTTTGAATCGCCTTTCCAGAACTAACCTAAACAATATCAAGTTCAAGAAAAAGTGCTCTGGAAAACAGGGCTACCAATCCGATTTAACTCGTACATTGGTATTGGGGTCCAAAGTCTAGTGAATTTAAAACTTTAACTCGAAAATTTTCCGAAGTAGGGTGGGTTGGGTGTACCTAAATTCACACGACGTCTTTTTGTGTTCTTCTTTCTTCTGTTAGTGTAATGCCATTTTGATTTACCACAAATGTATTATTTTATTTTGACAACCCTATCTGGTAACCAATCTTGCTAGTTTCATCTTATTGAACGAGACTTAGGTTTACTCTATCATGTACCTACATTATGCCATTATTATTATGATTTAGTAATTTACTATGAAAGTCGGATCATTCACGATAATACGGTGCATTAATTTATACCATCGATGCATGGATTTGAAATGAAATAGGATTTTGTTCTTCATTTCCATAGTTGCAAGAATTTCATGTTGACGGGTTGTAATTTACCTTTTCACCTTACCAGTAATCTTTTCAGTAATTAGGTCATGTAAATGAAACAGGTTTTGTAAAAGATACATTTACATGTGCATTATTATATGTATTATTGTCGATCGATATTTTATAGTCCTTTGTCTGCTTTTGTGTCGAATACAGATTTTGCCAGGAATGCTTCTGGAGTACCGGACATATTATCTTCTCCACCTTCGTCATAGGCAATTGTGATGGTTAAAGAAGCACGCAAGCTAAAATGGCGTTCATTCCATAAGAAATTGATTTCTTCCGTAACCGTAGATACGACAATACTTCGTCTTCTTCATCAATAGTGAAAGTTTAGTTTTTTGCCTTTGCATTGTCTGCCTCTTATGTGCAAATAATAGGCAATGAAGTCACAAAGGTTTCACTTCTATCAAATTATGAATAGTAATAAACATAGGCTTTTTTAACTGCGACAATTATTTGGGCGCAATATGTTGCACACGGTCACTAGATAACGATTTCTTTTGTAACTATTTAATTTTAAATGGCTACTGCCTTTCATATGTTCAATTACTCGTATAGCTCGTTAGATTGAAGCGGACCGACAATAAATAAGCAACTGAGATTTATCTCTAAGTAAGAACGTTGTCTTGTAATATTCATGTGTTAAACGATTGAAGAATTTCTTTTAAACATTGTCTGCAATTAAATCAGTCTTTATTTCGGCACACAAATGGTTGGTAGTCTGGCACAGTAAATAAAAAGAAAAACATTACATTGTTTTACTTGCTTTTTTATGTCTTTGGTGGGTTTGGTGGTCATTATAAAGCTAGCAGATGTTACATGCTATGTATTCTAGGTTATTAGGTGATCCAATTTAATATTCACGTCACTGCACCTGCTAATCCGCTGCAGGAGCGGTCTCAGCATTATGTCCGTAGACTCCCTGGCGTCTGCGTATTGATTCATCTGACCTTGTCCTCCGTTATGTAACTCAATTGAAGGTTTCTTCCACATTTTTCTCTTCATTTTGTGTTGGGATAGCTGGAAGTAGGTTACTTGGACCAATGCTGATGCCTGCTGTTGATCAAAGGCTTTGAAACTCCTTTTGTCGTGATCGCGAAGTTATCCAATACCCTGCGTATCAGCATGTAGTGTTCTACATAATGTTTGTTTGATCTTAAAAGTATATCTGCTCATCCATATGATATTCATTGGTTAGTCGATCAAAGTGGCACTCGAAAGCTTTAATTAGATCGCTGGTTCATCGAATGTGGAAGCGTTCAGGATTATTATTCTGGTTTCTAAGTTATAAATTAATCTATGTTTTGTCTGCCTTGGTAAGTTCCATCGATTCAGTGGAACTCATCAAATGTTTTTGTTACCGTTGTTAGTGCCTAATTGAATCGAAAAGTATTTTTTTCCTATCTAATCCTTTTATATCAGCAATTTCAAATCTTCATAGATAGTTATTAAAATGTTTTTTTCCCTACGGCTAGACATTACGCTCTTAAACAAGGGATGCTCTACCAATTTGCTTATCAACTCCATCATGATTCATGGCAACCCCGTTATTAGGTGTACAAACGTCACAAGCTAACGCTGTATCATCTTATGCAGTTGTGTTAGATGCTATTTTAGCACAAAAAATGTGTAGCTTGATAAGCTGTCGACTGTATACGTGTTGTTGTGCAGATGTACTTGCACAAACTGCGCATGTGTGCGGGGTAGGGTCGCATAGGGGTGGCCACCCCAGCTAACGCGATTGGGAAATAGGGCGGTGCAACGGCTCGTGACGAGATGGCTTTAATTTGTTGCTCGATTTCAATCTCTTTTAGGAAATGAGAGATTCGGTGTGTGCCAAAATACTTTATCGTAACAGACGTTTATGTTCTCATCACTTTGACGGTTGTAAGGATTATAAAATAAATAGCTTAGTAAAATTTTGTTTAAAATTCAGCTCGTACCTGTCATAGATTCTGTTTTTCTTTTGTTTATAGTGCTTTAGGTTTGATAACTGCTGATGATAATTTTCCAACCATAAACTTCTCGAGATATCTTGAGATCTAATAATTTTATAGAATAACCTTGAAACTGCTGATAAAAACAAACTAGTGCATACATTTATTATTACTGTAAATAAAAACACGAATCTTGACTGACTTTATAATCTTGATGATAACAGGCTAGTAGAATGTCTAGGTCAATTTTATTATGGTAAGTATTTCACATAAATGTCCTTATCATTGATAGTTCGTTTTGTGGGTTGATTGTTGTTTTGTCAAATCACATAAACATTATGTATTCTGTTCCATACCAACATGCACTTTGATCCTATAAACTTTTTCGTAAAATCGTGTTAACTAGATAAAATATGCTACGTCATAGCGTGGAGATAAGATTTAAAGCTATGAATATCACAGCCATTTCATCGAGTTCACCTGTCGCTATACTATCGACTCGATAATGCTAATCGAGTGGCGCCGAGGCGCGCGCCGCACTAGGCCACCGCTACCACTAGTCGATTCACTCCAGTACGCAATTTACCTCCGGCGCGGACGGACGCGTGCTGTCGCTCTCAAGAGCCGGCATTAAAATAACCACTTTGAAATCGTTTACGCGTCCATTTCAACAACCGTCCTGAAACTTACCGTAATACTCTTCAACCTGTGTCTCTCAATTTTCGCTACCTTGGAAGGATCAATGTTCATTCAACAATGTTTTTCTTCTTCAAATTAATTGGTCGCATCAGGCGATAATCATGCTTTTACTTATTAATGTATTTGGACACTAACAATTTTAACGTACAGCCACAAATCACGCTTTTAAAAAAAAAAGAAACGTTATTGCGTGTTTGTAAACGAGGTCTTGTAAAATCGATTACGTTCCAACTATGATGCGGCTTCGTGAAGTTAGCGAAATACAACATTTTCTATTCGATCAAAAGAAAATTTTCTAACCCACCCACATGATAATAAAAAACTGAGTATTCTTGTAAGTCCGATCGGGTCAATAAACTAAATTCATGTGAATAAAAAATTCTTCAACGTAATTACAATTTCATAACAGATTGAATTGTTTTTCTTTTGAAAGGCACATTCGATCACACGAAGAAAGCTTCCGTTGATTAATCAACTTTCGATTTTTCTCAATCGATGCATTGTTCAAGCTATTTTCAATGGACGCCCAGTAATTGAAATTATCTGACTATTAAAGATATAAAGATTAGTTGACCCAAATGATAGCAACGCGAATAGTGCGATAGTATCGTTATTTTATAAAGCGAGCGGCTGAATGGCATGAGAAAACGGCCCGGGCGCACACATTCTTTTCACGATTAAAGTCCTCAGTCATTAACATTTCTGCGCTGGTATTCGCGTTTCGTAAAATTTAATTACGACCACGTTAATACACTTTATATTACTCGAACGGCTGGTTTTCCTTCTCTAATGAACATTCAGATTTTATTGACAACTGCACGTCAAATCAATTATTTATTGTAAGATGAACATCTTACTAGTCGGTTATCAAATTAATTAAACTATGGAGAGACTGCTGAACAAAAGATAGAATATAAAATTTATAACAGTCGTACATTTTCGTTATTAAATTCGCAATTTAATCCGCAAACGGTAAAGTCGACGTATTAAAAAACAATGTTGATTGTTGTAGATGTATTGCATTAAGCTCAAAGTAACAGAACTCTTTTTATCTTTGCCAGTAATTCAGACCTGGCNAATAAAAACCACCGGTTATAGAGGCATTTTTTGGAGAAATTTATCAAATAACCAAAAAAACACGAATTTAAAAGCAGATTTTTTTCAAAAAGTATCATTTTTTATTATTTGTTGATCTTTTTTGCGTATTTTATGTATTTTTTTAGTATCACCTAATATTTAGCATTATTACTGTTTTTATTTTATCAGGATATGTCGCTTAGTTTAAAAGTTATTACGTTTTCTTTACAATAAGTAATTGGAAGAAAAAAAATTCTATAAAATATTTAAAAAAAATCTCAAAAAATTTTTGACCTCTTTTTTGTCGATAAAAATAGGTCTAATTTCATCTATTTTCATATGTACACTTTAACGTGACTCACACTGTATATATGTAACTAGTTTTTTGGTAACTTTTTTGTTTGTAGCTAGAAATAATATTTTTTTATGTTTAAAATACGATTAAACCTGTTTTTTTTTTCACTTAAATAATTATGTTTCTTGTTTATTTTATGAAAAATTATCCTAAGATATTTCATACTAAATTACTTATACATATATTGAATACAAATAGTGGGGACTTAGGTCCCCCACGAGTGTAGATGTGTAAGCTGAAAATACCAAGTGGTGTTAAGGGTTAATGTTAATTTTTAAGAAATTTAAGTATTTGTCAGGCAAAATATAAGTAAAATCATTATTTTTTATGAAGTTTGGACTGATTGGTAAAATTTTTAATCAGGAGAAAGCACTTTTGACTGATTTTTTGCAGTCAAAAGTTTTACCAAGGGCGTTAGTCAAAAGTAGTTTTGACCGATTATGAGTTTTGACTGTAACATTAGACATTGATTTGATAAAATTGAAATATTATCATGATCTTATTTAGGAGCAGTAGAGTTAAAAAATACAAGTATGTTATTACTTTAAATTACACCTATTTATGGTTCCGTACCTATTATTTAAAGAACTCGTATATTTTTTTTATGATGGATATCAATGAACTAAATTAATTCACAAATATTGCATACCATTTTCAAAAAATAGATTAATTTCGTTAATTTTTTAAAGTTTAATGAAGATAAGGTGCCAAAAATCGTGAGTCAAGTTTAGTGTACAATAATTTTACTTCGGTGAAAATTTGAGGAAAAGTGAAGAGAGTTATCCTGTTGTAATGATGATGATGATTAAAATAATTTTCCTAAAGGGAGTTCACTTAGGCCCAGTTTTTTGATTCATAGTTAAAATAACAAATTGTTAAATTTTGCTACTAATGGTTAAATATTAACAAAATGTTAACTAATAGTTACAAAATGTACTAAAAGTTGAGCTAACCATTGTTCAAAAAACATTTTTTTCTGATATTTAACCACTTGTCATTTGATATCTGTCAAATTTGACCATTGGTTATTTTAACTACGAATCAAAAAACCGGGCCTTAGTTTTATAAAAATAAGAGTAATTAACCAGGGATGTTATGGACATCCGTAACCGTTACCGAAACTATCAGATATCCGTAATAAAAAAATATCCGTAACCGTAACCGAAACCGATTCAAAAGTTTCGGATAGTTTCGGATAAAGGCGGAGTCAAAACCTTAATGTTTTTTTTAAATTTTGTTACTTGTCTGGCATTCCCTGGCACCATTTGATACCTCCGCCTGTTTTACCTTTATCATAGGTGGCATCATAAATAACATAAAGTGACTATGTGGGTCGCGCAACATCTTGCTACTTATTAGAATTTTACATTTTTAAAATTCTAATTCGAATTTATCCGAAACTTTCGGATAATCCGAAATGATTTCATATCCATAACCGTAACCGAAACCGGTATAATATATTATCCTAATATCCGTAACCGTATCCATAACCGAAACTTTATATCCATAACATCCATAATTTTAACGTTGCTCTTTAGTCATACTATGCCTATCTTTTAGAAAATCTTTGTATGAATAGGTACTTACTATGATGAAAGTTACAAAAAAACTCAATTTGCCTCCCAATTTAGTAATTATGAGACCTTCATAATAAATGTTCAAAGTTGAAAGGGATGTTTTTTGCGTATTTTCCTTCACCTTCAGCCCAGACAAGGGTAAGTATCTGTCTATTTATAGCGACTCTGTTACATGTCTGGAAGACCTGTACTACGACACTGGCTTTGGTCGAACGACGCTAAGAACGACACGACTCCATTACTTAAAAGCGATAGATTCATTTTGTTCGCCTCACATAATACGGGGCAAGTTTGTCGATAAAATTCGGCTACATCTATCTAAAGGGTGGAATTTTGTAATTCCACCTGGAGGGAAAGTACCCTTAATACTGCAGATAGAAAATTTTACTCAAAGAAAACATTCCTTTATTTTTGAAAAGAAAGAGAACTGCATTCAAAGATTTTTGAAAATTATTCGAAAATTTTCCACCATACCATACAATTTTCTGTAAAAAATGTCAATACTTTAAGATTTTATGGTTTTTGAGAGATTTCATTCTTATACGTCGATCGATGCAATAAAAATACAGGAACTATTTTCTTAAAGTAATGCTTATTTTATTAATACTCCAAGGATTTGCTTTTAATTATACTCTTTATTATGTCTCATACAATATCAAATACAATACAAAGTTATCTGAAAAATGTTGCGCGTTCTTCTTGACAGTTCTAGTGTTGCTACCAGACCGAGTTTTCTCAGGCGTCCCAGAACCGGGTGGAGAAATATTGCATCCGATTCTGGGACGCCGTCAGAAAACGGCCACATTCAACTCAGCGGTGTAATCGATTCTTGTCTTTTCGTAGAAACTTCACCTTAACACGCTTGATAAATCTTTAACCATATCTGAAGTTGATAAATCTCAAGCCTAAAGTTAATTTCCGCTGTGCTGTTATGACTACAAAACAACGGAAACAAAATTTTAGGCCTGTAGATTTCAAACATACTCGTTATGTTTTCCAGTTGTCTTGGGTCTACTCTGTAGAGTGCATTTTTAGCTTGTATCCGACTTGAATGTGATAAAAACTGCTGCATACGCAATCACCGCTCATCAATTCAAATGTATGCTTCTGCGCACCAATATCGTATAATTTGTTGTCTCGAATGTGCTTCAATGAATACTTGTGTTCATAAGTCTACCTACATCTCATGAATCTGTCATGATGTTCTTTCGATAGCATTGTTTGTTCTTTAACTGTATTTGTAACGTTCGAAAGAGCCGATTCCATGTATTCCATTCCATATTTTCATGCATTATCTTGTCGGGAATATGTCCCTCATCGATGTATTTGCCAGCCAGATCTATCTCGACCCACAAATGTAAGTATCTCACTACGTACCTACCCTGTGGGTCAAGGAAAAACTAGCAGGAGTTCGTTTTATACAGCAGCGGGACTATTCCCACTTCTTGCTCCCACCACTGCGTCTCCTGTGTAGCAATAAAGTTCCATGCATGCAGCCTTCTGTCAATGGGGTCATCAGGCCATGCTACGTAGTACGCGCATGAAAGTTACAGTAGTTTGAAGTCTACGTATCATTGTTTTCAGCTTGAGAGGCAGGTTCAGCTGAGCAGTCTGTCTTTCTGGTGCTGGTCGGAACAGTGTCTCTCTATTCATCCTTATTTTTGAAGATACGCGCGTTGCGCTGGTAGCTTTAAGAGATTTTCCAGCTTCACTGGTCAAAGTGGCGAGTACAGACGATAGTCTAGCCATTTGGCGATCGTCGGTGCACGTGTCGACGAGGGTTGCCTATTACGGTGTTGGGCCAAGATCCAGGCTTCAGCGGGCACACTCTAATGGGCCCTAATCAACGAACGAACGAACGAACAAAACAGTGAAATAATCCTGACACTGGCACGCAAATGTCTGTTACCCAGTGTCAATTAAAATCGGTTTCGTTTTACAGTAGTAGTAGTAATATTAACTTCATGGTACCAAGTCCGCTGG